GTTTTTTTTTTAATAAACGATATTATATACTTTTGACCTACTATAATCCTTGGACTAAAACTCAAATTTTAGGTTCTAAACTTACCTCAACTTGCTCCAATGTCACATCCCGCCTTGGGGCGAACCACTTCCCGGGCCCGTTCCACCACCGTAGCACGATATTGTCCGCCTTGGGCCCCAACCACGCCCTCACAGTTTTGTTTCTGGGAACTCACGAGCAACTTCCCAGTGGATCACCCATCATGGGAGTGCTCTAGCCACCTTCTCACTTAACTTCAGAGTTCCGACGGAACCCAAAGCCAGTGAGTTTCCAAAAACAAAACCGTGGGGTAATGGATCATGTAAGCCTTATATGTATATTCTCATCCCTACCTAACTCGAGGTCTTTTGGGAGCTCACTGGTTTCGGGTTCCGTCGGAACTCCGAAGTTAAGCGAGAAGGTGGCTAGACACACCCCGACCGAAGTCAAGACGTTGGCCGTCACGTGAGAGTGACAGCCAACATGTCTCAAGTCCGGTCGGGATGTGTCATCCAGGATTTCTCCTGGGTTAGTGGGGCTAGCCCACCATATATGTGTATTTTTTTTAGTTTTGTATTTATAAATTCATTGAATCTAACGACTATGATCTAATATGATCAAATCTAATGGTAAAAAAAGAAAGATCTGACGGTCTAAATTTAAATCCAATAGCTAAGGTAATTAAAAAAAAATATTTTATGTGTTTCGTATTCTTTCATAGTGTTCCACGAGTTTCATGATATCGGTTTTAGTGATTTTTCATTATTTATCGGAATCTAAATATTTTTAGGTTAAAATGTTCATAAAATTAAATTAGAATAGACTACGTAATTTTTTTCTTAAAAAAAATTACTTTAAGAAAAAAAATATCCTAAATTAATCTTTAACAATATCGGGCTAAAAATTTAACCTAAAAGGGTCGAGGAAGAAAAACTGTTTCTGGGTTAAAAATTTATGGTTTTAACCCAAGGGTGGAAGAGTAGGCTAAGCCTCACGATGGACTAGTAATAATGTGGTTCAAATTCGCATTTGGCGAGAATCAAACCTAAGACATCTCATTTATAAATGAAGAGAAATACATGAACAAACAATATTATCTACACTAGTTTAAAGGTATTTTAGTATTAGTGTCTTAATGTTTTCTTGTAAGTAAAGGATTTGGATATTAAGATTAGGTTTAATTCTTTATAAATATGGTGTTTTGTAATTTAGCTGGATATAAGTTTGTCAAGATGTAATATCTTGGAGTTATGTAGTCTTCTTCGCAATTATGTAGTGTTTATTTGTTTTCAATTGATAAAGTAATATAATCATAGTTAGATTGTTTGTTCACGCACTCGATTTTCAACTTTTTCCTCTCTTTCATGATATGAGATTTGATTCATATAGGGGTTTTTTTTTTCTTTCGATTTTAATATTTAAAAAATAATAATCTTTCCTTCCTACAAAAGAAAATGATGAATAATATAGTAAAACACTAAATTCAACGGCAGATCTTTATCAACAAATGATATTAAAATTTTGAAATAGCAAATCCACATATTCTTTCCTTGATCTCTTTATCTCTAACTCCATTCTCTCAACCTAAGCAAGAAATAAAGTAATCAAATCGTAAAGTTAATTAATCTTACCATATATCAGTCAAAAGTTGGGGGCCCTATGCAATGACACAAGTTGCTACCTCTAGTCGACGCTGTAGAGAGTTTCTTAAGAACTGAATGACCTGCACTTAGGCTTTCTCGATCTAACAACACAAAAATCAAAATCTTTCATTACAACTATAGTTAGTAAAATACAGAACATGTATAGTACGTGAAAAATACGTATGTGTATACTTCGACAACTTTTCTAAAAAATTGGCCTTGTTTAATTTTTAATATTCGTTAATAATATGATAAAAACACAGAATACGTGAATATGTTATGTATTATTGAAAATGTGTGAAATAACGTGTATTAAACGTGGAAACTACATATATATTTATATTATACGTTGGAGTTTTAAAAACATGTAATCTAACAAATTATTAAGATGTGCACAAAAAAAAAAGCTTAAACAATAAGATAATTTACACTAATTCATTAAAACTATGTAAAAATTAAAATTAAAAATTGAGTGCAAAAAGAATAGCAAACTACTCTAGCCAATCAGAGTTTGTGTACTAGAGCCTGTGTCGATTACATTTACATGAAAAGTTGGCTTCGTTAATGCCGTAACTAACGAAAAAGAGAGGTACGTGAGAAGCTAAAAAAAAATTAAAATCATCTCTCAATAAATTGCCATAGTTTTATTTTAATTTCTTAGTTAAGTGATATACAATATGATATCACAAGTTTTATTTTATCACCTCGTTTTCAGCAACGGGCCGTACAAACCCAAACGTGCAAATGGAAAAGCAGCCAATGATAATGATAGCCGTATCTCACATGACAGCGTTGGGAAAGCCTCCACTGCCGCAGGCTCCTAATAAGTAAGCATTACATGGTGCTATGTAAATTAAATATGGCTATATTAGCATCCCATAAGTTATTGAATAAACCTCACATACTTAATACATCTCATATTTACTTTTTCAATTAAAAATTATGTTAATACATCCCACTTCCTTTCCCATAATACCCTCACACCCCATATCCTTAATATACACCTTACATTTTCTACATACACCCCCACATTTCTCAAATCTTGTAACACTCATTTTTAATTTTGCCGAATGATTTCAAGCTATCTGAACGTTAGTTTGCCGAATGATTTCAAATTGAAGGATTTGAAAAAAAATGTTTAGGTTCATTTGAACGTTTTTCAATAACAATAATAATGATTTCAAAGCTACCATGTTGTTTCCATTTTCTTGTGCATATTTTGGTTGAACCAAGTCGACCTGCAAGAAGCATCTTAGAATAGTGCAAGAAAGCACCTGATGAATGTCATTGACTCAATCTGCAATCAGTTCGCATGCCATGGTTTTTGAATTGAGATTCATAAGTGCTAATTCTTGAATTATTAGATTGAGTGAGATTAAATAATTATCGATGTCGTTGAAATCACTAAAACAAAGAAAAATACGAAGTCTTACCTCATGTAAAGCTTTCGAAACACCGATTTCATGTTCCGGTCAAAAATAATTTTTCTCAATCAACATGTTTGTAGTTTCATTGCTTAAGGTTTTATTCAACAATAGAGGGTGTGAGGGTTTTGATAGTTGAAGTAGATAAATATTATGTTAAAAGTGATTTGATATGTATTTAGAAAATTTTTATTTTTTTTAAACCTAATAAGGTCAAAATTGTAATTGCATAGTAGGGTAAATAAGTTATTAATATTAAATTTTAATGTGGGGTACATTCAACATTTTGTGGGGTGCTAATATAAAATGCCTTAAATATATAAATTAAATAACGTGTTATTAATAACAAATAAGTATATTGATTAAAGTTAAACTAATAATTTAATTATTAATCGTCATTTAAAGGTTATTTTTACAATTAACCGGTTAAATTAGAGAAAATTTAATTATTTATATTTATCAAACAAGAAAACGGTTCATAACATACATAATATTACCTAAAACCAAAAACGTCAATTCCTCAACAGCCAATAATGCTACTCACAAATCCCATGAATTTTCTTGCATAATCAAGGGTTACTGATTGTACAACCCACACGTGAACAGTCACGTGCTCCTTGGAATCCTCCACTAATCCCAACTCACATGTATATAAACCTCTTTTTGCAGACCCAATTACATATTATCATACAAAACAAAACAAATGAGATGATACCATTTACGTCACGACATTAAACAGAATCAGTCACAAACCCAATGATTAGAGCAGAGCAAGGAAAAAAAAAAAGCAAGAAAAAAGATTTCAGAGGAAAATTTGAGAAATGCTCTCAAAAGTAAAGACTTTCCACCAACTTTATGTCCCTTCGTGTTTTTAGTACAATTCTGATTCTAATGTTATAAACATTAGGCAAAAAACATGAGATGATGAAGAATCCACGAAAAATCACACTTTCAAAATCTCCTTAACATTTCAATTTATTCCAAGCTCATTGAGGGTTTAAGAACATATTGCATAACTCACTCGAGAAACAAAAGATAAGATATCGCCACTTTATAATTTATTGCTTTTATTCCACATAAAAAATGAAACATCCTCGAGCTCTACCTTCATTTCTTAATCTTAGTTCAGCATATCTTGTGTCATGGACTAACTTAGACATCAGCACTTTTCACACACGTGCAAACCCAGGGAAAGGGTGCATTTGGTTTTTGTTTTACTTTTTACTTTTCACTTTTTGGGTCAGCGAGAGGAGAAAATTTAGGACAGATGGAAGGGTGCAGGGGCTGATTTAATATTGCTGTGCTTTAAAAAAAACTGTTTCTGCTATGCTGTGAGAATAAGCTCATTTTTGCTGCTTCACATTTTCAGCTTTTTTTCATCCAAAACTGTGAAAATAAGCTGTTTTTAAGTGTTTACCATACACTTTTTTGAGCTCAGCTTTTTTTGATACCTACTTTTTATAAAAGAAACTCAATACCAAACCAATACCAAACCAGTACGAAGAATGGTGGGAGGGATGTAGAGCAAATGTATATGAAACAGTGCACAAAATGAAAACAAAAAACGATTTTAAGTTATTTTCACTTTCACAATTTTTGTTCCACACATATCGATTTCTCAATTGACCCTCCACACACCATTTCTCAATCTCTCTTGTCCCCCATACAAACAGCAAAACCAAAGACCCTACTACCTACTACATAGCAGCAAGGGAGGTATGAGTTACTAGTATTTCAAAATCAGGGTGACTTACCACAAGAAAGCACATGAACAACAACGGTGGCCAAAATAAAAAACAATGAAAACCAATTCTCAGTGGCAAAGCATAGCCTTCAAGAAGATGGGAGTGGATCAATGCATTGTTACGAAAAGCAAAGAGAATTATTTCTATCAAATTTTAATCAGAGCGTTTCTGTGCTGAATTTAGCGGTAAAATATATATTATTAACATGCGGAAACAATTTCAAATCAGGGAATTCTCATTCAACAAATCAAACCATAAAAACCTTGACACATGATTTGTTGTTTTCGGGTAAATGTATTTGACAGGAATTTGAATATGAGTAGATTGTAGGCTGGTTGGTACCTTGTCATTCTTGCATTGAGTCTGATAAAGCACTGCCATCCAAATCATCATGCGGATCTACTGAGCTATCAGCTGAGAATACAAAAGCAGGAGAAACATTTTGCACATCGCTAGGGCCATTTTCTGGATCTTCTGGAATGGGAGCAGCAGTGACGATTCCTAGGTCTTCCTGAAACAGGGCACCATCGTCATCAATCCGATAGAGAACACCTGGAGGTACAAGCTCAAGCTTGTGTTCTGGTTTATGTTGCTGATTAAATCGACCGGTGATATTAAAAGGCGCATTGTTGCATGCTCCACATAGGTCAAAACCTATTTTCTCCACGCAGTCTTTGCATCTGTACCTCTCCCCAATAATTGGACATATCTGCAAAGAAGAGCATAGTGCTGTACAAGTCAAACGACAAGGAATAACATGGCACTTCTTACTACGATTTGCTGGGGCACTTCCCGTTATTTTATTACCAAATTATTCTTTTCCGAACACTTTATCAACTCATATGGTTCCACCTGCGTCCCATACTCTGGTACTCATTTGAATGTCTAAAAGAATTCACCCCGTATGCTTACAGAAGGAGTGCATATGTGGTAAGTAGAAGTGTGGACACAGGTGAAACTAGTCCAGTGAATCTAATAAATGAAATCAAAACAATAAAGTTGGATCCGTAGTAAATTATTAATTTGATTATAAAAAAAAAAAATCATTCCAAAATTTCCGCTGGTTAGCCGGCTTCTCAAAAATGTCCCTGTTATAACTTATATCCATAGGGTAACCACTCTTATTCCAGAAATATCAAATACATAATTCGATATTGATGAAAAATTGGTAGAGAGAAACTTTATGGGATTTTGCAGTGCACGGACAAGTGGCGTGTTTCATAAAAATGAACCACAACACATGATATCCCCCGAACACGTGATATCCCCCACACTTATCTCCTACAGTATTGGGTAATTGCTAGAAAAATCTCTTGGGGCCTACAAATCTAGGTTTGATCCATTGACTTTTTAGAGCAAGTTAAACCAAGCCCCTGGCCATTATTCTTAAATTTAAAGTTGATACGAATTAGATTAGGACAAAGGACATTACCCCACAGCAATCACAACCAACTCCGTAATGAACTTTCTGCCCAGCACAGCAAGATAAGTAATCATCAGAAAGTGTCGACGATGACTGGCCAGCACGTTGATGATCACGCACTGGATGTGAAATCAAGTTAATCTCATATGAGCACCAGAAACAAGACGAAAATAAGAAATGCAGGAAAAGGAAGGAGTATTGGAAACATCAGTAGTACTGAATCTACTAATCGGTAAGCATTCCTTTAGGGCATTCATCCAATGTGGAATGTCTAGTGTCCAACGTACTTGAAAATATCAGCAGTGTGACTAATTATATCTGTAACACAGTTGAAGTGCAACATAAAATATTGAATCCAAACCCTGAATCTAAACGAGCTTCCAAATTGATGTTTCTCTCTATTTCGTATCATTTAGAGATAAAACTAAAGTAAGATGTCTGATATAAAGAAGAATCTAAAAACTTAAGTGATATTTTAGCATCAGAAATTTGGTTTTAGGAGAAAATGAAAAAAAAGAATGATCTTCGATCTGAACTCCAAATGTTAAAGAAGATATTTGACAATTTACTTAAGCTTCCAATTATATAGCTCAGAACAGTCCGGTTTTGTTACGAAACCAATTTCTGAGACAATGCTCCATATCTAGATAATGATACTGATATTGGAAAATATAGAACAGATTACAGGACCAACATCATAGAAGTTCTTAAGATAACATACATTTTATTGAAGTTACTCGTCGTTGCAAATAAACTTCAGGGTATTGCTCCTCCAAGAAATGCTCTAAAATTTTGCAAACACTAGGGAATCCCTTTGGATGCATGCTTTGACAAATCTGACACCTAGAAATTCCATCAGCTGGAATGTTGATACAGGACTCACAAAATACTGCACAAAAGAAAGTCTAAATTAGTGTATATTGACATCAGCATAATTCTGACTTCAACATACAGTTAAATGATATAGTTACCATGACCGCAATTGAGAACAACAGGTTGAAAGAGCAGGTTCTCGCATGCAGCACACAGCAGATCAGAAACAGAAACCTTCTGGTGAGTTCCATTTCCAATATCAATATCACGCGTACAGTCCTCTTGGATGGCTGCATTTCCAGTAGCTTCAACGTTCTTTGGAGATGTTGCAGGGCTTGTAATATTAACTTCATAATCTAACATAGTTCCTGAAGTATTTACAAGTGAGGAAGATTGTACTACCCCAGAAGAACAACTTTCCAAGTTCTTTGAGTGAACATTGCCCAGAATATTTGACTCCTCAATACGATGTGACCCAGATAGTGGATTATCAAATTGAGGTGAGAAATAACCAACTTCCTTTTCTTCTTCTGGAACAACCAAGGAAGAAAAGACAGTAAATTATTTAACAAGGAAACATTATGCCAAAGTGAGTCTACAAGTAGAAATAGCCAAGTAGTAAGCATAGTAAATCATACAAAGTGCTAAGAAATTCAGTAAAGCACACCTTCCACTTGTTTTCCCCTTCTCTCATATGCTTCAGGATACAACTTCTGGAGCAAGAAATGCATCAACTGACAGATACTTGGAAAATGATTAAATGGGTGCCGACAAACGGGACAATAAGACTCATGAAAAGCACTCATGGTCTTAAAGACACACCAGAAACACGAAATGTGGCCACAACCTGCAAACATCATCAGGTCATAAAAGAGGGAAGCAAACATATACTTCAAAAATGTTGTTTAACGGCGCAATTTATCACCTAATACAACTGGCTTGTAAAGAAGATCCCTGCAAAGTAAAGGAAATCGCCTTTAGGGATGCATCACGAAAAAACCAAAGAATAAAAAGTTAAACTCAACTGTAAACAGAATCATGCAAAACAACATTAGCACAATCATATTGAGCCATAGCTATTACTCTTTCGATTTCGAAGGGTCCTTTCGAAATAAATTTATTAGTTTCTTCTCATTGTTCAGCAAGTTTTTTAACTGTTTTTTTTGAAGAGTTGTACGAAATCGAAAAGGATCCTCGCCGGATCCTTTTCCTGGGATCCCGGGAATCCATGATCGTGACCGTATATCGTTTTCGTTAGGCACTATTTATATTTAATTTTAAATTTTAAATGATTTCTTACCGCTCGATATTCGTTCATCGATGAACGGTTACGATAACGGGATCCCCAGAAAAAAGATCCGGCATGGATCCTTTTCCGTACGAAATACACCAAAATACATGCAGCTGGCCATAATTCTTCAAACACCAAAACATTCATAAAGTGCTAAATCATCAAACAAAAATTACCAGCAACTAATTATAAAATTTAAAAAAATAAATAAATGAAATTTCAAGCGACCTAAATGTAAATTGAACACCTATATCAGTGAAATAAACAAATAAATTATGAAATTGCAGTAATTCAAGAAAAATAGATTTAAAAGGAACAAGGAACTGACAGGCAAATGCAGCATTCAAACTCTTTTCGAAATTCCTCGTCTTGGAGCTCCCCCTGTGGTTCTTGTTGCTGTTGTTTGATTAGGGTTTTATCGTCTTCCATTTCGAATAAAATCTCAGAGTCCGAGAGAGAGAGAGAGAGAAACAGAGAGAGAGAGAGAGAGAGCCGAACAATATTTTGACAGAAGTCTCAATGGCGGTTAAGGGGGGGTGCCTCGTCATCATCATATTGCATTTAAGCCCTTCAAGTTCTTAAAGTTTTGATTTTCCATCTTATGTTGCACCGACGTTTTAAAATTTATACGTTCCGTCTGAGGCCATCTCAAATAGCTGTCCTCAGTTTAGCTCCTTTATTTATTTATTTTCTAAGTATAGCACACTAAAAATATAATTTTAAAGAAATAGTGCAGGGCTATAATTTTGACAAAGTTAAATTGTATTTGAATTCATATAATCTCATTCTGTCATTTGTTCAAAAAATGAAAAAAAAACTTAATATCTACATCCATATTATTTTTATTAAACTATCAATATATCTCTAAACTCAAAATTTATTACTTTTTTTTAATTTTAGGGTAAATATCAGTTTACTACTCTAAAGTTTCGTGGTTTTCAACATTTAGTACATGAAGTTTTTTTTGTCTCAAAGTCATATATAAAGTGTTAATTTTGAGACAGTCTCATACATCCGTTAGTCTGGCTGTTAAGTCTTCGATTAACTAATGATGTTGCACTCATGTGGATAATGACTGGATGTCATGTGTTATTAAGGGATCCACGTAAAAATTAAAAATTCAATTTTTTTTTAAATTAACATAATTCATTAAATAAACCCAATCCAATTCCAGGCTTCTTCCCCCACCTCTTGATTGTTAACTGACTCTGCGATGGAATCTGACTCCCAAATCTTCCATAAACCTTAGCTTTCCTCTCAAGATTCTCTCTTATTCCTCCAAGAACCACGAGTAATACTATTCATACCATGTTTTTATACCATATTTTTATATCACCTTATGTGACATTTGATGTATATAGCCACATCATTTGAAAAATTTGCAAAACCCAAGGAAATGAAGAAGAAGACTCCTCGTATACCACAATTATCATTTAATTAACTAGTTTTTCTTAATTATTAGTTTATTAAATAATGAACTAAATTTAAAAATCTGATTAATTCAAATAATGTGGCTGTACATATCAGATGCTACCTAAGGTGGTATAGAAATATGGTATAAAAAACATTACTCATGAACCACTTCTTTCTCTCTTTCTCTCTCTCTCTTCCCTCTCTGCCCCCGCCTCCGTCTCTTTCGCTCCACTTCTTCACTTCCGTCTCCGATCAAGCTCCTTCGTCTTTCACCGGTGAAGAACCAGAAGCTCCTCCTCCTTCTTCCATCGGCGGTCCAGTGCCGGTTCACGCCACATTTTCGGTACGCTCAATTTTCTGGCGAGAGCGAGAGAGAAAAAAGTCCTATGACATGTGGTGATTGATCTGATTACAGATTCTGGATTGAGGTTATGGTGTACTAGATGATTACCATGGACGATAGAGGAGGAGGCTCATTCGTCCCTCTCTAGCATCACCGCCGGCCCGACCCGACTATGGCCACATCAGTGTCCCAAATCCGCTCCCCATTTTTCCGACACCCCCGCCCCCCTCTCTCTCTCTCCTCCAAGCCATCACTCTCTGCTTTCTCAGTAACTCCCGCCTCGCGCCGCCGGGCTCTTCCACGGCTGGTCATGGTGCTGTCTGCTACGAAGAGGTTGGAGAATCTGGGTTGGAGAGAAGTCAAAATTCACGTTTGGTGGCGGCAAAAAACTAGACAAATTATATTCCAGAAGTAAACAATTAACAAATACTGAAACATTTGGCTCTTCCCAGAAAAGGAAAATAAGAATTTATTCTTCTTTATTTTTGTTTATTCTCGTAAAGTTTCTAAAAGATTTGGTTTGTATAGTTCTTTTTCTACAAAGAGAATTCTGATCCATTCAAACTTGAAGAGCAAAGTAGCGAGCATATTAGTTCGACTATCTACCTTAACCAATATCAGACTATCAGTCATTGTTAAGTTTAATTTATGAAAGGGGTTTGCTTACAATTCTCACACGAACTTACTCGATCGTTTCATTTTCTCAGCTTTTTTTCTAAATTTTAGGTGGTTTGATTCAGAAATGACAATGTGATCGCTCCCCCCTCTGCTCTCAGAGATAAGCTTAAAGCGAGATATTCTAATATTTTTTTTTACAGAAGTGACTACTGAGTAGAAGGAAGGCACCACCGTCTTTTGGCATTTCGTGTTTTTGTTCTGGACTTCGTATTCTGGACTCTCACCCTCATCCCCCTGCTCAAGTACGTGTTTATTGTGCTCAAAGCAGACGACAATGACGAAGGAGGAACATTCGCCTCGTACTCGCTGCTATGTCGACACGCCCGAGTCAACTCGCTGCCTAATAGCTAGTCTGGGATTGGATTTTTTGGGGTTTAGGGTTCTGCCGACGGAGGAGATGTTGCAGCGGGAGGAGAGGAGGAGTGGTACGAGGTTGGTGACGGAAGAAGGGGTGGCTCAGGTGGGCCATGGGTGGAGAGGATGGATGGTGGTGGGGAAGACGAAGGGTTTTATTTTTATTTTTTATAATTAATTTTTATAATTTTTTATTTTCATGAGACTATTCTAAAATTAATACTTTAGGTATGACTCTAGGATGAAAAAAACTTAATCTACTAAATATTGAAAACCACGAAACTTGAGAGTAATAAACTGATATTTATCCTTAATTTTATTATTATTAAGGGGAGGGGGAATGATTCAAAACTATTACAATAAGTTAGGAGAGAGGGAGTTTTGAACACGGAACACATGGGTAGAAATTCAATATCCTATCCACTAGGATATTGAACCACATGCTCAAATTTATTACCTAAACTACACTTAGAAACCCAATTCAATATTAAAATTTATCTTTACACCCTTGTGAACACGGAAAATTCCTGAAACGAAAGAGACAAGAACAACGTGCACAAACAAATATTTGTATTTTTTGATGATTTTGGGGTTACAATCTCTCTTCTATTTGATCCTCTGATTCAATCTCCGTAAGGTGTGTATTTGTGGATGTGCGATTAATCCAAAGGGCCGTTGGGCTTGATCTAAGGATGAACGTTCTTCAAGGGCCGTGGACTTGATCTTGAAGGTGGATTTGAGCAGATCTTCAAATGGGCTTTTGGGCTTGATCTTTGAAGAACAGTGATGAACGGATCTCCAAGGGCTTTTGGGCTTGATCTTGAAGAACAGTGATGAACAGATCTTCAAGGGCTTTTGGGCTTGATCTTGAAGAACGGTTGGATGTGTGGATTTGTCGACGTTGTTGATCCAAAGGGCCGTTGGGGCTTGATCTTGGATGAACGGATGATGAACGATGGTGCTTTCTTCAAGGGCCGTCGGGGCTTGATCTTGAAAGAACGATGAACGAAGAACGAAGCACACTTTTTTCAAGGGCCGTCGGGGCTTGATCTTGAATTGGTGGATGATTGTTGATCCAAAGGGCCGTTTGGGCTTGATCTTGGAAGAACGATGAACGAAGAACGAAGAGAGCTTTCTTGATTCTTCGGGAACCTGGATGCTTGAGGGCTTCGGAGTTTCAGAGCTTCAAGAATTTTGCATAATGATTTTTTGGTTTTTTTAAATGAATGAATTAGCCTTCTATTTATAGAAATTTTCAAGGCCTAATTTTGAATATAATATTCCAGATGAAATAAGTCGTTTCTGCCAGGTGTTGACACGTGTCTTGTTTGATGACTTTTCCAACTTATTTCGATTTTTTGTTTAGACACACGCTACGTGTAAAATTTATGTAATACATGAGCGTTGAAACTTTGATTTATCGGTCAACATTTATTTACCGAAATTTCGATGTCTACAAATGCCCCCACTTCAAGGCACGTCGTATACATGTGCTTGTCACGTGTAGGAGATGCGTTTTGAAGTCCCTTACTGTAGATGTCGATCCAAGGGCCGTCGAGGCTTGATCTTGAATTGGGCTGGAGATTTCTTCAAGGGCCGTTGATGCTTGATCTTGAATTGGGCTTGAGATTTCTTCAAGGGCCGTTGAGGCTTGTTCTTGAACTTTTGTTTGAAATTTCTTTAAGGGTCGTCGAGGCTTGATCTTGAAGGTTGAAATTGGACCACAAGGAGCTTCATGTGGTAGATGATCTTTGGCTTTGGTAGTGGGTGAATCGGCACATATTTTGTTGCGCTTGTTGACTTTCCACAGCTTTGATCTTGAACTGGGTTGGAGGATTTTCTGGATTCCTCCAATTGTTGATTTTCCACAGCTTATTCTTGAACTAGGTTTTGATTCAAGGGTGGTAGACACTTAATCTTGAATCGGACTTGTGATTTCCTCAAGGGCCGTCGAGGCTTGATCTTGAATTTGGCTGGAAATTTCTTCAAGGGTCGTTGAGGCTTGATTCTTGAAGGTTGACTCGAACACATGGCAAGCAGGCACGAGGTAAAGGTGACAACCTGTTTCTTTGTTCAATCTTTCTAATTCACACCTGAGCAGTTTGGTCAACAGTATGATCTTCAAGATTGATGGGCTTTTTCTTCCAGTTGGTGACTTGATCTTTAAGAATTCGATTCAAGGGTGGTGAATCGGCACGTGCAGCCCACAACGCCTAGTAAGTCGACCCAAGAATTTGAGGGTCAAAACGAGTTCACCGTCCAGAGTGATTGCAACCCTGATGATATGAGATACTTTTGATTTTGAAGAAGTAGCGGATGAATCAGCACGTGCTTTGTTGTGATTGTCTCCACATGCTTCAATGTATTATTTTCCCTTGCTTTATCTGTTCCTCAGGCAGATGTGGCATCTTCTCGAGTTCTTCATCTCAGACTCTTTCTGCTGAGTTGGCTGTGCATGCTGCATTCTTCTCTGCTTGTTTCTTCAGGCAGATGTGGCAGCTTCTCGAGTTCTTCAGCTCGGACTCCTTCTGCTAAGTTGACTGTGCAGACCGTATTCTTCTCTGCTTGTTCCTTCTGCACGTTGTCTCCACATGCTGCAAGGTATCATTTTCACTTGCCTTATCTATTCTTCAGGCAGATGTGGTAGCTTCTTTGGAAGTACAGCAGCAGTGGGAGACGAGTACTGGAGAGCAGTGCTAGGTAGGCAATCAGGGAAGGGTTCCCAGCAGTC